TTTGTTTTATCCAAATTTTAATTGGGGATATTTTACTGTTTTTATCCAAATTTTAATTGGGGATATTTTACTGTTTTTTATCCAAATTTTAATTGGGGATATTTTATTATTTTTACTGGAACAAACTGAGAGTGAGGTGGCTCAGTCTGCATGTGAAGCTCTGTAACATGCTTTTAAGGGGAAAAAAGTATTTTATTTGTTTTTATCCAAATTTTAATTGGGAATATTTTACTGTTTTTTATCCAAATTTTAATATGGGATATTTTATTGTTTTTACTGGAACAAACTGAGAGTTAGGTGGCTCAAGTCTACATGTGAAGCTCTGTAACATGCTGCTAAGGGGAAAAAAGTATTTTATTTGTTTTTATCCAAATTTCAATTGGGGGTATTTTACTGTTTTATCCAAATTTTAATTGGGGATTTTTTACTGGAACAAACTGAGAGTGAGGTGGCTCAGTCTGCATGTGAAGCTCTGTAACATGCTTTTAAGGGGAAAAAAGTATTTTATTTGTTTTTATCCAAACTTTTAATTGGGAATATTTTACTGTTTTTATCCAAATTTTAATTGGGGATATTTTTCTGCATTTATCCAAATTTTAATCGGATATTTTACTGTTTTTATCTTAATTTTAATAAGGAATATTTTTCTGTTTTTATCTAAATTTTAATTGGAGATATTATACTTTTTTTATCCAAATTTATAAGTTGAGGCAGGTCATTTTATGATTATTTGGGAAATGAGGGACTTTTTACATTATTTTATCCATTTGGGTGTGGGGGACAAAGGGAATATTTTACTTTTTAAGACCAAATTTTAATTTATACAGGAGACCTTTTTTTTTTTTTTTTTTATCTTTTTTTAGTTAAATGTTGAGCCCCCAAGTCAAATCAAAGACTTAAAAACTGGTACTCCAAAAGGAAAAGATAGGTGACCTACTGTGGGCATTTGTCTTGGTGAACTAGCACCTTAAAGTCCAGCTAACCCACAGGCCGACTGGCTAGTACAAGCAGACAGGAATTTTTATACCATTTGGCATTTTTAAACTTTGGCATTTTTCATTTGGCTTTTTGTTTTATGTGTTTTTGAACTATTTGGATTTATACCATTTGGCAATTTTCATTTTTTTTTTTTTTTTTTCAACATATTTTGTTATCAACACACCAAAAACACTTCAAAATTAAGAGTGGGATATATACTTTTTGGCCTCCATAATGTTTATCAATCAAAACAGCATTCTATTTTCAAATTTACATTACACAATTTGGCTTTCTGTAACGTTGGCTGTTAATCTTTTGTACGAATGCTATGATGACCATTATGTGTAGAAAATAAGACTACATTTCTAAAAGTGGCTCAGGTTCATATATTTATGTTTGATATCAATCAGTTCTAAATTTCCTTCACATTTCTAAAATTTTAAGATCTTCCATATCTGGTACATCTTATAATATCGTATTCATCTACTAACCCAATTTTCTCATAGGGACTTAACACGAAGCAGAAGGGGTATTAGGTGGTAGGTGGTTAAGGGTGTTATGATAGGGTGAAAGGGAGGGAGAAAAATAGAATGATGGAGAGGGTGAGGGTATATGATTGTGAGTGGAATATAGAGAGGGAGTTAATCTGTGAGAGAATGTGATTTCATAATAAGGGCAGGGTGTACTGGTCTGGAAGTATAGTTTCTGTTTTGTCTCATGTAGTTTCTGTTTTCTACATCAATCTGATATTAAAGTTTAAATATTGAGAAATTGCTGTCGTCTAAAAGTTCACAAGTTAACAGCCTTTCTTGTTACTGTTTATGTGCTGCTTATATATAAATATTGTAGCACTTCTCAGTAGCTAGATAGAGTTGTGGCTTTTCATCAAATTAAGCAGCAGCTTCTGTACAGTTCATGTTGGAATGATACCAAGTGCTGTGTTTTTCTTCCAAGTTGAGAACATTTTTGATCTTCATGAACTAGTAATTACACATGATGAAGCTTTTTATGGCCCCGCAACAAATATGGCCTCGCAACAAAGCTGTCGGGGCCATATAGTTTTAGCCTTGTCTGTCATTCCATCATTCCGTCAATCCATCTTTCCATCATTCTGTCATTCCGTCATTCCGCAACAAACCATTATACGGGCTTTTTTTTCTAAATGCCTTCAGATATTAGGCTGATTTTTGGTATGTGAGTTCACCATGATGAGTTTTAGATGAAGTTTTAGTTTCGTTCTGGTCCGCTAATTTTTGCCAAAATTACAGGCTTTGGACTTCGATAAATTGTTGAAAATCACAGTTATACAGACTTTTTTTTTCTAAAGGCCTTCAGATATTGGGCTGATTTTTGGTATGTGAGTTAACCATAATGAGTTACAGATCAAGTTTGAGTTTTGTCCTGCTCTACTATTTTTGCCGAAATTACGGGCTTTGGACTTTGATAAATTGTTGAAAATCACAGTTATACAGGTTTTTTTCTAAACGCCTTCAGATATTGGGCTGATTTCTGGTATGTGAGTTAACCATGATGAGTTACAGATCAAGTTTATGTTTAGTTCCGCTTTGCTAATTTTCCCCAAAATTACAGGCTTTGAACTTTGATAAATGGTCGAAAATCACAGTTAAATGGAGTTTTTTAAAGCCTGAAGATTTTGAGCAGAATTTTGATATGTGAGACTACCATCATGTTTGTGTTCACATGTGTTGTTGAAATTGCAGATTTTTCAACTTTTTGAGACAGGGCCATTCGTGTCGTTTCGACACATCTAGTCTTTTTTTGCAACATGTTTTTTAATCAAATCAACCAAAACACTTCAAAATTAAATATACACTTTTGACATTCATAATGATTATCAACTATTTTTAAATTTACATTAAATAATTAAATAACTTTAGTATAAGTAAATAGAAATGTATGAAATTTGAACACAAGGTTTATAACCACACAAGAAAGGTTGGGGTTGATTAAAGGGGTTGTGGTCCCAACAGTTTAGGGATTTAAGGAGGCAAAAAGGGGCCCAAAAAACATTTTTTCTAGTTTCCAGACAATAACTTGTGGAACATTGTATGGATATCTCTGAAATTATACCACGATTTTCCATTCCTCAAAAGGATGGTTAGGATTGGCTTTTGAGGGTTATAGCTTAAACCAATTAGGAATTAGGGGCAAAAAAGGGGGAAAACAATGATTTCCTGTTTGATGGACTATTACTTATTTAAGTACATGAATGTTACGTTTGAATTACATCCCTTACACTACTTTTAAATCATGTATAACGAAATGTATTGTCTTGAGGTGATTTGCTGCCAATTCGTTTTTAGAAAAAAGTAAAATCACAAAAATACTAAACTCTGAGAAAAATTCAAAACGGAAAGTCCCTAATCAAATGGCAAAATCAAAAGCTCAAACACATGAAATGAATAGATAACAACTATCTTATTCCGACTTGGTACAGGCACTTTCTTATGTAGAAAATGGTGGATTGAGCCTGCTTTTATAACTAGCTAAACCTCTCACTTGTATGACAGTCACATCAAATTCCATTATATTGACAACGATGTGTGAACAAATTAAACAGACATAACAGGTGAAAATGTCAAAAATACAGCCATCAAGAGAGAACTAACTGTTTTAAAAAAGAATTTTAGGATGTATTTAAATGGGTAATTATGGTTGCAAATTCTATTTGGAATTTTAAATTTTAAATTTTAGATTACAGAAATTTCAGAAATTAAAAAGACATTTTCTTTAAATATAATTTATTTTTGCCAAAAAAAAAAGGGGAGGTGTCAATAAACAACAGCATAATAGTGTACTGCACAAGAGCAAAAAAAAAATGAGGGGTCAATACGCAACAGAAAGCTTAAGGGGTGTATTTTTTTGGGTAGGGGGGTCAATTCACAACAGCATAGTGTATTGCATATAAGCCAAAAAAATTAATATAAATTGAAACATATAACCAATTCTAAGTTCCTTGACTACAGTTATTCTCTGTCAGATTCCTATTATGTGTCAAATATTTAATTACAATCCATATTCAGACCCAAGCGCGAATATTGTGTCCATTTTTGCCCCAACTGTTCATGGTAGGACCTCCGCGGTCGTATCTAGCTGCGCTCGGCGAAGCAATTTATTATCTTTGAAATGTTTTGTAGGAATTCTGCTTCACAGAAATACAAAACAAGTCGGTCATTAGGGATGACCAATCAGTACCCATAAGTGAGACTATAAAACATAACAAGGTTGAGAAAAATAAAATTTGGTACATTATAAACCTATAATAATGTAAGCTCTGTACAACATTTTACCAACGAACAAATAAAAGGCGTATACAATTCATGTAAACAATTTAAGACATGCAAATAAAATAAAATGCATATCAATATGAAAGCATTATTAAGTGAAACAAGATGTCACAGTGCTCATGATAGCAACACTGAAAAAAGCACAGTTAAATTGAGCGCAGAGCCGGAATATAAAAGTAAAAACAAAGCAAAGGAGAAAAATATAAAGTACCGATGATAAAAGTATGTATGCAGTACCAGTGAAGATCCAGAAATTTTGATAAAGGGGGTGGTAGTGGCCAAGAAGGGTCCCACTCCAGTCATGCTTCACTGATCCCTAAATAACTTAGTTAGTCAAACGAATTTGCCTAGAAAGGGACCGGGACCCCTGTCCCCCACTTAATACGCCTCTGAGTACAAGTCATATTTTATGCCCATTATAGAATGACACGATTTCCCCGCTATAAATAACATTATCTTTAGTTTAGAATAAACAGTGTTTTCACAAGGTTCATTTACAATTCATATTACATATAGATTTTTCTTTTAAATAATCATAACAGATATAAGTTTTAAGAATGTTCTTATTTACGAAAACAGGTTTGGTATTTGAATGTTAAATAAAACTGTTATTATAATAGTTTCCCAAAATAAAACCTTCCTCATTCAAAATATCTCTGACCATTCATTGGCTATCGAACGGAGCAACTGGAGTACTTCTGTTTATTAAACAAAACCAACCGGAAGTTAGGTTGTTGTCGTGACTTTTCTACCAAACTCATCCAAAGTGCAATATTGTTGTGTGATTTTACTTTATTCACGTGCTTTAGATAGATGACAACACAAATTACTATCAAGATAGATAAACAGAAGCTAAATTTTATTTACAATTTAAGTATCCAAATATTGTATGCTTTGTCATTACATAATTCAACCGACTAGATCTACAACAACCTATTCTCGGGAACCAGGTTCTGTAACCAACATCCTACAGACACTTGGCTGGCCAACACTAGCAACACGCAGACAAGGAGCCAGGCTTATACTCCTATATAAGATCCTGCATGGAGAAGCATCAGTCATTATCCCAGATTACATCAGGAGACCAACTGTAACAACCAGACAATACCACAGGCACAGAGACAGGTTTTCCAGAGTCAGCACTTCAACGGATGCCTAAAAATACAGTTTCATCCCCAGAACAAATTTTTGACTGGAACCAATTACCTGGAAGTGCCATCCAAGCCCCCACAACAGACGCCTTCCGGGTCTGTGTGTGGCAGTTCCTGGCGTAACTATTGATACCTGATTTTAACCCTGTACAGTTGTTGCAAACTCACATAATTTTATTTGATTTTGTTCCTGTAAATACACAAGTTTTTGTTTATTTTTAATTTGGCGTGTACTGGTTGACACACCCGCACAGTATATCTGTGTTATGGAAATTTCAACTGCAGATTAACCACAAAATATAGAAGAAGTACAATAAACACTAGACAACAGGAATGACAGGATATATCTTCTGGGGGTAAATGGTTAAAACTAGATATAAACAGATTAACTTACGAATGTTTTATTATATACTGGTAAAGTACTAGGGTATCAGGTTGTTCTGGCCCAAAATCAATCTGGCCCCAAAACAATCTGGTTAATTACACTGTGACCAATATTTACGACGGAAGCTTGATCAAATGTCGACAGCCCATTTATGGTATTCAACAGCTCATTGGTCAGAGTTCTAGTCAAATCAGTATCCGGTCAAATCGGCACCCGGTATAGTCAAATCAGCACCTAGTCAAATTGGCACCTAGTTAAATGGCACCTGATGTAGTCTTTAGGCACACATGATAAATATATTTAACCCGCAAAAAAATTTTTTGGATTGTATAATGGTATGATGTCGTCGTCTGCGTTGTCCGATGACACATTTTGTTTCCGGACAATAACTTTAGTTTACATGAATGGATCTCTTTGAAATTTAATAAAAAGGTTCAATACCACAAATGAAAGGTTGGGATTGATTTTGGGGTTGATGGTCCCACCGGTTAAGTAATAATAGGCCCAAAAAGGCCCCAAAACCAGCATTTTTCTACTTTCAGGATAATAACTTGTGTATAAGTATTTCAATTACTCTGAAATTGTACCATAATGTTTAATACCACAAGTAAAAGGTTTGGATTCATTTTGCGGTCTATGGTGTCAACAGTTAAGAATTAAGGGCCCAAAAGGGGCCAAAAACAAGCACAAAAACAAGCATTTTTGTAGTTTCTGGACAATAACTTGTGTGTAAGTGTATAGATCTCTCTTATATTGTACCACAAAGTTCCATATCACAAAAGGAAGACTTAGATTGAGTTTGGGCATTATTGTCCCATTCATGCAAGAATTAGGGGCCATAAAAGGGCCAAAAACAAGCATTTTTCTAGTTTCCAGACAATAACTTGTTGTAGTTTACAGTCAATAACTTGTGTTTAAGTGTATAAATCTCTCTGAAATTATACCACAAGTTTCCATACTACAAAGGGATAGTTATTGGGGGTTATGGCTTAAATCATTTAGCAATTAGGGGCCAAAAAAGGGGGGAAAACACGTGTTTTTCTGGTTAAAGGACAATTTAGACAATTTAAAAGCTGTGTTAGGGAGGTAATCCAATTCAAATTTAAAGAATACTGTTATATATATGTTTGATTACCTCCCTTACACTGTTTGAAAATTATGTATTAAGAAATGATGATTGTCTTGAGATGATAAGCTGTAATTATTTTTTTAGAAGTAATACTATTCATTTATATTAATTTTAACCATGACTATGTCATTTTATATTTCTATATTTTATGATGTATTTATTAAATGAGTAGTTATTGTTAAAAACTCCATAAGAAATTTGAATTGAGATTAGTATTGGAATAAGGGAAAAGAGAAGATGAAAAAAAGGGGGGGGGGGGGGAGTGGGGGGTAGGGGGTACAATTTTTCTCATTTCAGATTTCTTTAAATATTTTTTTTTAGGGGATTAATATTCAACAGCATAGTGTATTACTCAAAAGCAAATAAATTTTTTAAGTTCATTAGACTACCAGAAACCTATGCTGTGTCAACTATTTAATCACAATCCAAATTCAGAGCTGTATCAAGCTTGAATGTTGTGTCCATACTTGTCCCAACTGTTCAGGGTTCGACCTCTGCAGTCGTATAAAGCTGCACCCTGCGGAGCATCTGGTTACTTTATGTTTACATTAATATTTGAAGATTTGAACAAATCAAAGGGGAAACCAGGCATTATCTTGCATAATATGAAAAAGAAGATGTGGTACGATTGCCAATGAGAAACGAGCCACAAGAGACCAAATGACACAGAAATTAACAGCTACGGGTCACCTTACGACCTTTAACAATGAGCAAAGCCCATACATATAAGTTCTTTCAGTAATTTAACATGGCCTAAATACCTTTGCTTACCATGATAAAAAGTTGAATAATGGAGATAAAGGGTATAATATATCAATGAGACAGCAACTTAATGACACAAAAAGTAAGAAGACATTTAAATATCAACACCAAAGCATCAAAGTCCATTTGGATTGTATCTAAAAACCACAGGGTTACGATTTTAAATACCTGGTTAAACTGTTGTATAACATTTCAAATACTGTTAATACAGAAATTATTGTATGGTTTTTATATTGTGAATAACATGTTTTTTTTACTGACCCTGGTTATCCATGAGGGTCTTGCATGGTCGTATATGAGAATAATGTATCTGGGTGGGTATCACCAGGTGTATATGTATACACAATATATTGTGAGATGAAGCATAGCCAGACAACGGGTCTGCAGTTAATTACGTTTATTATATGCATTAAATTATAATTACTTTTTCATGTGATAGAAAAACTTTATAAAGTCATAAAGTAAAGATTATGTGAAATTATCTAATTGGTTTTTTCAGGAAAGTAACTAAAGTTAACTTTAAGTGCAGTATATCTGTGGAAATTTTTTGTTCTGATAGTAATATTTTCTTTCTCTTTCACAATAGATGGATGGTAACTGAATCAATACAAATAGCCTCATTGAATTTGAAAAAGCTGCAAATGATATCAGTAACAAAAGATTGTTAGTGTGCAGTGTGCAGACAGTGGTTAAACAGAAGTTAACATTTTATCAGTTTTGGGTTTTTACAATCAGCTAGAGGAAATAATAGGAGAAAAAGGGACCTGTGTGGTAAAAACTTCCTAAAAGTCGTCCTTTATGTGTTCAACTTTTTCTTTTGGGTAAGTGTATTATATATATGTTTATAGTTATAGAAAAGGCAACTTAAAAAGATATTACAATTTAAATGATTTATTGATTATTTTGGTTGCTTAGAATCATCCATTGGCAAATATTATATATGCATGTTCAGAACTAACTATATAAAGTATAGAATTTGTAAATGTATAATATAAGACATAAGAGAAGATATAGATACATGTTAATTGAATAATCTCCCTTTGTTCTTTGTTCAAATTAAATGAAATTCTTCCTTCATTGTTTACTGTATTCTGTTGCTAGTAAGATTTTATAACCATGCTAACAGGATAAAAGATCCTAATATAAAATTATTTCAAATTTTTCAGCTAACATTGCTAACTTCAAATTACAAAAATATTCCGTTTCCTAACTTTTTTTTATCATGTTCTGTCAATTAATTAAATGTTCTTTAAAATTCAATAGTATTTTTATGCATGATAAATTCTATATTTCTTTTCCAGCTGACAGCCCGGTTAGCTTTCCTAGCATAAGGGTTATATATCAAGTTCCAGAAGCATACCTATATCAATCTGCTAGGGAACAGTACTTTCCCTTTGGCAACATACTTGCTACTAGGAACAGGAGCCTTTTTATCTTGTCAGGAATCATTAGTTGTACTGGGACATGTATAGAAAACAGATGTTTTATGGTTATGGTGAGTTATTTCCCTTTGAACACATTGTCTACTAAGAATGTATACCAAAATTAAGTCTTTTAACTTTTCACAAGCAAAGCCAACAATAAATTGAAAAAAAATAATGTTTATCCAATTCTTGAACCAATAAAATTGAGAATTAATGGAAATGGGGAATGTGTCAAAGAGACAACAACCCGACCATAGAGCAGACAACAGCCGAAGGCCACCAATGGGTCTTCAATGCAGCGAGAAACTCCCGCACCCGCAGGCGTCCTTCAGCTGGCCCCTAAACAAATATGTATACTAGTTCAGTGATAATGGACGTCATACTAAACTCCAAATTATACACAAGAAACTAAAATTAAAAATGATACAAGACTAACAAAGGCCAATGGCTCCTGACTTGGGACAGGCGCAATGCATGTTTATATCATAAACTTAGTCTTCTGTGCACGATTTTATCATTTTTTACGCAACGATATCGTTTTTAAATTGTCAATTTTTTTTCTCTCTGTCTGTTATGATCTAACAAATATGGTAGCTCATTAATTGCCGTGTTTTGAAGCCGAAGTTTACCGATTGTTACTTTATAGTAAGCTATCAACAAAAAAGGATGCAATCTATTGGCGATTTTATCATAAACATGTTGCTAATAAATGCCTCTTTAATAAGCTAGGTGCATTTTTCTATATTTTTTTTATCTTAGGAAATTACTATTGAAACATTGTTTATCTGTTATCTTGAAATTATCGTTTGAATAGGATGTTTTTTTATAGAGATGACTTAAGCCAATCAGAAAGTCAGACTAGAGGTCACATGTCTGGCATTTCATTCTCCTGTCTCATATTCTAAAATGTTATGGATAATTAAAACATTCTTGTGATGTCATTCTATTGTTTTACCCGTTCTTTATTTCAGTGATTGGACAATCATTAACCTGTAAGAAACCATTATGTTACCTTTAGTTGTCCAATATTTTTAAGAATAGACCTCCTCTTTCTTAAAAATATTGGACAGCTAAAGGGTAGCATTACTGATTCTTACAGATAAATGATAGTTCAATCACTGAAATAAAAAAAAAACTATTAATTACCCCAATTGTTTTCATCATGTAAACAAAAATAAAACCAAAGATCAAATGGCAATTAAAAAAACATTTTATTAAAGTCACCTTCCAATACAATAATTTTGTCACTCATCAAAACGGTTTCTTGAGAAAAAAATCACTTTCAAATTGATTTTTGTATCGCTTGACGGAGTCAAAAAGCGAGACATAGGTATGCTGTTTCCGGCGTCGGCGGCGACGGCGGCGTCAACAATGTATTAGTTTGTGATTATGTCTAGTTTATGGTGAACCACTAGTGGTAAGTCAAAGATATTTGGTATGCAGTTGTATTGGTATTGGCACATCTCATTACCATGGAGATTATTTGGCCTCATCCCCTCAGTCATGGTCTATTGACTTTGAAACTTTGCTTAGTTTTCATGTATTAGTTTGTGATTAGGTCATTTTATGGGGAACCACTAGTGGTAAGTTAATGATTATTGGTATGCAGTTGTATAAGCATTGGCATATCTCATTTCCATGGAGATTATTTGGCCCCGCCCCCTCAGTCATGGTATAACTTTGAAATTTTTGCTTAGTTTTCATGTATTAGTTTGTGATTAGGTCAGTTTATGGGGAACCACTAGTGATAAGTAAATGATAATTGGTATGCAGTTGTATAAGCATTGGCATATCTTATTTCCATGGAAATTATTTGGCCCCGCCCCCTCAGTCATGGTCTATTGACTTTGAAACTTTTGCTTAGTTTTCATGTATTAGTTTGTGATTAGGTCGGTTCATGGAGAACCACTAGCGATAGGTCAATGATATTTAGTATGCAGTTGTATTAGCATTGGCACATCTCATTACCAGGAAAATTATTTGACCCCCGCCCCCTCAGTTATGGTTTATTGACTTTGAAAATTTGCTTTATTTAAATGTATTAACTTGTGTTTGAAATTTTGCTATATTTAAATGTATGAGCTTGTGTTTAGGTATGTTTAAAGGGAACTACTTATGATAAGTCAATGGTATTTAGTATGCAGTTGTATTAGCATTGGTACATCTCATTTCCATGGAGATTGTTTAGCCATGTACCTTCAGTCATGGTTCATTGACTTTGAGTATTTGCAAAACGTACATGTTAAATAAAGTGTTTCTATTTTAATTTCAACATTTGCATTATCGAAATTACAAAAAAGCGAGACATATCTCTGTGATAACAGCTAGTTTATTAACACTACCAATACTTATATCACAGCCATTTTTCTCATGTTTTTGGGTTGTCTCTTCAGCACTAATTCAATAAGTTGATTATGCTCGTTGTAAGTCTTGTTTTTATTGCTTTTATGAATTTCTTTTTCCAAAAGATTTCTTGTGATGTCATTCTATTGTTTTACCCGTTCTTTATTTCAGTGATTGGACTATCATTAACCTGTAAGAAACCATTATGTTACCTTTAGTTGTCCAATATTTTTAAGAATAGACCTCCTCTTTCTTAAAAATATTGGACAGCTAAAGGGTAGCATTACTGATTCTTACAGATAAATGATAGTTCAATCACTGAAATAAAAAAAAAACTATTAATTACCCCAATTGTTTTCATCATGTAAACAAAAATAAAACCAAAGATCAAATGACAATTAAAAAAACATTTTATTAAAGTCACCTTCCAATACAATAATTTTGTCACTCATCAAAACGGTTTCTTGAGAAAAAAATCACTTTCAAATTGATTTTTGTATCGCTTGACGGAGTCAAAAAGCGAGACATAGGTATGCTGTTTCCGGCGTCGGCGGCGACGGCGGCGTCAACAATGTATTAGTTTGTGATTATGTCTAGTTTATGGTGAACCACTAGTGGTAAGTCAAAGATATTTGGTATGCAGTTGTATTGGTATTGGCACATCTCATTACCATGGAGATTATTTGGCCTCACCCCCTCAGTCATGGTCTATTGACTTTGAAACTTTGCTTAGTTTTCATACATGTATTAGTTTGTGATTAGGTCATTTTATGGGGAACCACTAGTGGTAAGTTAATGATTATTGGTATGCAGTTGTATAAGCATTGGCATATCTCATTTCCATGGAGATTATTTGGCCCCGCCCCCTCAGTCATGGTATAATAACTTTGAAATTTTTGCTTAGTTTTCATGTATTAGTTTGTGATTAGGTCAGTTTATGGGGAACCACTAGTGATAAGTAAATGATAATTGGTATGCAGTTGTATAAGCATTGGCATATCTCATTTCCATGGAAATTATTTGGCCCCGCCCCCTCAGTCATGGTCTATTGACTTTGAAACTTTTGCTTAGTTTTCATTTATTAGTTTGTGATTAGGTCGGTTTATGGAGAACCACTAGCGATAGGTCAATGATATTTAGTATGCAGTTGTATTAGCATTGGCACATCTCATTACCAGGAAAATTATTTGACCCCCGCCCCCTCAGTTATGGTTTATTGACTTTGAAATTTTGCTTTATTTAAATGTATTAACTTGTGTTTGAAATTTTGCTATATTTAAATGTATGAGCTTGTGTTTAGGTATGTTTAAAGGGAACTACTTATGATAAGTCAATGGTATTTAGTATGCAGTTGTATTAGCATTGGTACATCTCATTTCCATGGAGATTGTTTAGCCATGTACCTTCAGTCATGGATCATTGACTTTGAGTATTTGCAAAACGTACATGTTAAATAAAGTGTTTCTATTTTAATTTCAACATTTGCATTATCGAAATTACAAAAAAGCGAGACATATCTCTGTGATAACAGCTAGTTTATTAACACTACCAATACTTATATCACAGCCATTTTTCTCATGTTTTTGGGTTGTCTCTTTTAGCACTAATTCAATAAGTTGATTATGCTCGTTGTAAGTCTTGTTTTTATTTCTTTTATGAATTTCTTTTTCCAAAAGATTTATCCTCGTCCGTCTTTAGGTTATTAAAATTGACCTCTGGTGATGCCCTTCCTAACATCATTTTCAACTGCAACTAAAATGAAAAAAGCAATAAAGTAATGCTTCTAAAATTTGATAGATCATGCCGCAATACAAGGGTCACGAACAACCGAAACCTTATCCTGTGTACAAAGTGCGAATTAGAACTTCCTTCATGAACCAGGGGACTATGAAAGTTTTTATAATTTTCAGGTTTCAACGTGTAAAACAATGTAAGATATAAGCCTCTAACAGTCCATTCTGTAAAATATTTTACAGAATGGATTGTTATTGGCTTATATCCCTTAGAGAGAAAAATATCATGTGACATCAAACATTATCCATTGATTTATGGCAAACCTTAAATATCTAAATATTATAAAATATATCTAAATAAAGGCAACAGTAGTATACCGCTGTTCGAAACTCATAAATCGATAGAGATAAAAACAAATCCGGGTTACAAACTAAAACTGAGGGAAACGCATCAAATATAAGAGGAGAAAAACGACACAACAAAAACACAACATTAAAATGTAACACACACAGAAACGAACTATAATATAACAATGGCCATTTTCCTGACTTGGTACAGGACATTTTAAGAAAAAAATGGTGGGTTGAACCTGGTTTTGTGGCATGCCAAACCTCCCGCTTTTATGGCAACGTCAAACACAATACCAAAACGACAACATCACATGACAGGACCACAAAACAAATAAATGGGAGAACATATAGGACAAAGAAACACACGAATAATAGCTAACAAAAGGTACTAGGCTTAAAATTCAATACGTCAGACGTGCGTCACGTCCACACAAGACCAACCAGTGACGCTCAGATGAAAAAAGTTTGAAAGCCAAAACAAGTACAAAGCCAGAAATTATGGAATCATTGTTCAAAAGTACCTTTATCGTAGTAGTAGAATCTTTTTTTAAATATATTTCAATCTAATTTATGTACATACAGGTTGGAAGAGACTGATGAACTATACATATCTGGGATACAGAATCAATGAAACATCGTCAGTACTGAAAGGTCAACATCAAAGAGGGGTCTGTGCTGTAGACTTCTCAGGTATTTATTGTTTGTTCATTTTCAATCTTAATACAAAAAATTTATGCAGATTGAAACATGACAGGATATTTTTGGTGGTTAACCTTGTAATGATTTTGACTGGAACAAAAGAATGGATGTCAGGAAAATTAGGAAAATAAGATTATAAGTACAGCTAGTATGGGAATAAAACCTGGAATTTTATCACCAGATCTGGTTGGACTTGGATATTTGTTGATTTGTTACTGCCTGAAAATTATCTACTACAGTGATACTTAATTTATTGCCACCTTTTGGAACATGTAAAATACTATCGACAAGTCAGGATGGCAGTATATCAAAGTAGAAATTTATATAAAAACTGCACCCATTTGAGAAAAGTTGACTCTAGGATTATTCTGTAAATTCGTATTGGCATGCGTAGGCACCGGACACATCCATCTAGACACCAATACCAATATTTAATATTCAAATAGTTCCAGTGTAATGCTGTGTGTTATTCAAGAAATAGAGTTAATTAATTGTCTATACAATTATATACCCTTAAAGGACACTTGCTGTGACAAAACTCCTGCAACTTTTATTGTATTGTACTTTCAATATTCGCATTGCGCAGGCGCATGCAAAATCGATTGTTATATATAGTAATCCAGCGTACATCCAAACGTGTAGAGCTGATTTTAACTTGGGGCCTACTATAAATAATAAAAACGAATGGCAATACAACTATATCAAAGTAAGAAGATATATATTCCTTGATAATTATCAGATGTAGGCTTATCAGACTTTTCTTCCCCGATCTTCCTGATTCGCAGCGGGAGCTTTGCGTGTATATAGCTTTTGATTTTCATATAGTGTGAACAATGTATTTCTTCCACTGATGTCTTCCTATTTTTCCTACGCATTCCCAATATTTATATGTGTTGCGCCTTAAAGAGGAAATCATATTCATTTGGATATGGTTCAGTATAACAGGAACATATATATTGATATACTGTTCCCAGGGTATAAGTTTACGGAGCTGTACGTCAAACTGAATTAAATTGTCTAGTCAGTTATGACATACAATTATCCATGACTTGAGTTTGAGCAGGTAGATGTTTCTTTGAGTTTATATCCTAAAAGGATTCACCACACGCACTGTTTAGGTTTTATTAGTCTATAGATTATTGAAAACACAAAAGGGGTCTGAAAGAGGGGGAGGGGGTGGGGGGGGGGGGGTAAATTGTTTGATCCTTAATTTCTGGAAAAAATAAATTAATTTATACAGGGAAGTGAAAAAAAATAGTTTGTTTCCCTTGAAAATTATGATAAAATAAATAAAACATTTAGTTTTAAAATAAATCGTGTTCCTGTCGATATTTGATATTGAAGAAAATAGTTTTTATTCTAAATTGATTTGCATTAATATAACTGAGAAATTCACTGCATTTTGTGCTTAATCTATTGGGTTCTTAGGCTTAAGAATTGCGTTAATTAAACATGAAACTGGTTTTGCCAACTACTGGTATCAATTTGTTAAACAAAAAAATATGTAATGGATTTCCACTATAGAAAATTGTAAAAATGTACATAAATTTAGAATTATATGCCCAAAATACAGCCTCGAAAATTTTCCATTTAAAGTTTTCATCCAAATCTACAATGCTGACTTTCTATCTGAACTGTTTTAATGTTCTGATATCATATTTATGTGTCTAGGCTGGTGTCAAGTTTTATTGATCATTTGTGAAATCCAGAAAAAGTAGATTAACATTGAGAAAAATGTATTCATGGTCCTGGTTCTGGTGTGTTTAAAGTTATTCAAATGTGAGGTGCTTAATTTACATAAAAAGATGAAGATGATGTGTCCAGCTGTGTCCGCCTGTAGCCAGCAGATTAAATAAGTTTTATATAGATATTACGTTGTGTCCACTTGTGTCCGCCTGTAGTCACTAGTTTTTATATGTTTTATATAGAAATAGCACTGTGTCCTGCTGTGTCTGCCTGTAGCCAGCAGATTCTATAAGTTTTATATAGATATTACGTTGTGTCCACTTGTGTCCGCCTGTAGGCCCCTGTTTCTGTAATTTTTATATAGAAATATCACTGTGTCCAGCTGTGTCCACCAGTAGCCAGCACATTCTATGTTTTATATAGAAATTACGCTGTGTCCACTTGTGTCGGCCTGTATCCCCAGTTTTTATAATTTTTATAAAGGAATAGCACTGTGTCCAGCTGTGTCCGCCTGTAGCCACCAGATTCTATAAGTTTTATAAAGAAATTACGTTGTGTTCACTTGTGTCCGCCTGTATCCCCAGTTTTTATAATTTTTATAAAGGAATAGCACTGTGTCCAGCTGTGTCCGCCTGTAGCCACCAGATTCTATAAGTTTTATATAGAAATCACGTTGTGTCAACTTGTGTCCGCCTGTTTCCCCAGTTTTTATAATTTTTATAAAGGAATTGCACTGTGTCCAGCTGTGTCCGCCTGTAGCCAGCATATTATATAAGTTTTATATAGAAATTACGTTGTGTCCACTTGTGTCCGTCTGTAGCCTCCTGTTTCTTAAAGTTTTATATAGAAATAGCACTGTGTCCAGCTGTGTCCACCTGTAGCAAGCAGATTCTATACGTTTTCTATAGAAATTACATTGCGTCTACTCGTGTCCGCCTGTATCCCCCTATATCTTAAAGTTTTAATAGGAAATAGCACTGTGTCCAGCTGTGTCCGCCTGTAGCCAGCAGATTCTATAGTTTTATATAGAAATTACGTTGTGTCCACTTGTGTCTGTCTGTAGCCCCCTGTTTCTGTAATTTTTATATAGAAATAGCACTGTGTTCAGCTGTGTCCGCCTGTAGCCAGCAGATTCTATACGTTTATGCAGAAATAACGTTGTGTCCACTTGTGTCCGCCTGTATCCCCTATTTCATAAAGTTTTATATAGAAATAGCACTGTGTCCAGCTGTGTCCGCCTGTAGCCAGCAGATGCTATAAGTTTTATATAGAAACTACGTTGTGACCACTTGTGTCCGCCTGTAGGCCCCTGTTTCTGTAATTTTTATATAGAAATATCACTGTGTCCAGCTGTATCCGCCTGTAGCCAGCACATTCTATGTTTGATATAGATATTACGTTGTGTCCACTTGTGTCCGCCTATCTCCCCCTATATCTTTAAGTTTTATATAGCAATTACGTTGTGTCCATTTGTGTCCGCCTGTACATTGTAAAACCTATACCGTATTATACGCTATGAGAAAGGCCTCGACATGAAAAATGTGAAACAGTTTACAAATGAAACCCTACGTAGGGATTTATGGAAAACAGAAAATAAACTAAAAACAAATATGGCAGTCAACAACCAAAGACAACCACTGTTTTCAGGTTTCTGACTTGGAACAAGCTCATACAGAATATGGGGGATTAAACATGTATATGGATGCTCTACCCCTACTCATTACCTAAGACAGTGGCGTAACAGATTCATAAGAACAAACTGAAATTAATAGTTGGAAAAAGCTTGACTATTCATCTGCTGGCTCATGGCATTTCTTCAAGGAAAATAACCAGATTATCTATTAAATTGCTTTATATTTGTCATGTTTCGGCCTTTTATAGGTTACTAAGCAGTAGGAGTCTTGTTCATTAATGAAGTGTGTATACGGGGACCTATAATAGTTGCTAACGTCTACGTCATTTGGTATCTGTTGGCGAGTTAATTCATTGGCAATGATGCCACATCTTTTTATTTTTATCTGCCGGCAAACGGGAGGCATGTCACCCTACTCAAATACATTTATATTTTCACTTACAAAATGTACAGCAAACTACTATTAAATGTATCTGTTCCCCTGAAAACTTTGTTATAAACAATGCCATGATATCTTCTTCTTTTTCAGATGTACAGTTACAGCTTCATATGATTGAAGATGGCGAACTGTTATATCTGTTCTTGTTTGGAACAAATACTATAATATCAAATTTTAATATTTGTATATATAAATTCCAGAGTATTTCTTCCGTTTAGAATTTATATTAGTGGCAAAGGTAAAATTTATACAGTTGTCAACATATATTTGTTCCGCCTAACAGAAGTTTCCAATATAAGCAATGCCATAATGTCTGTTCCTGTTGGAACACATATTATTTACCTTTTATTCTGTTAGGAACAAACACTGATATTTCTTCCGTTTGAAAAATATATTATAAAGGAACTTCTATTTCATGAAGCAATGGAGGTGCAAAATATGTACACAAAGTGTGCAATGCATATATTTACAACCAAAGAGTCAGTAACCCGACCGAAGAGCAAAAGACAGCCCAAAGTCTCTGGTGGGTCTTCAACGCAGCTAGAAAACTCCCCACCCGGAGTAAGCTTCAGCTGATCCCTAAACCCCAATTGTATACTAGTTCAGCAAAATGAACGACATATCTTTATAAAGTTGCATACTAGTAATCTCTTTAGCTTTGACTTTTTGTTATAACTTGCTCATCATTTTTTTAAACTTTAAAATATGTGCACGTGCGAAATAGTATTTATCAAGTATAGTTTCCTGCATTTGTCAAAAAACGGATATTATACGTAATGTTTGCCGACCGGACTTGGATTTTTATATAGTATTCTATGCAATTAACATTTTAATTTCTCTATGGTCCTATCTATAGGGTTACCATAAGGGTTTGGGATATCTAAATTACGTCAGGTAATACTCATTTAATTTCTTTCTGCACGGACGATTTCGGCAATCAGTATGTTAAGAAAATTGAAGGCAGTTCAACGTTCGCTGCAAGAAAGTTAGGACACAGAAGTTAGTTTTGTACATCCCAAATTATCTCTATGTAAACTACTCATGTGATGCAAGCATTAGATACAAAACAAATGCAAAACAAACAGCGAGCTGGTTGACGTATTGATTTTCTGCACGAGTAGTCGGGTCAATGTCCAAGTCGATAGCGAGTGCAGACACAGTATACGGCTGGTTGTTACCAATATAAAGATAAGGAGATGTGATATGATTGCCATTGAGACAACTATCAACGAGGGTTCAAATGAAGTGAATGTAAGCAATTATAGGCAACAATACGGCCTTAAACAATGAGAAAACTCATTCCAAATAGTCGGCTGCATACGAGAAAACTAACGGCCTAATTCATAACAAACAATGTATAAGCAAACAAAACCAAATAAACAACTAAATAAACATCATGAACATGAATAACACATCTAAGATTTTTAAAAAATCAGCGACGTATGAAAATGAAATAAAAAAGAGAAATCGGACAATCGTAAATATGAAATCAAAGGAGCAAATGTACGATAAAAATTTTCCTTTTTTATTGGGAATAAAGTGTAACGTAAAATGATGGATTTTATCTCGCATATTTTGGAAATCAAATGTTTCAGTTTATTTTCGTGTTCATTGGAGTAATGTGATATACTGGTATACCCAAGGATTGATC